TTGATAATTAACAAGTATATGTGGATTTTAGCAGGGCTTATATTTTTAAATTGAGACCCCAAATTTCAGCTTCAGCCGTTTTCAGCATCAGCTGCGACAATAATTATTTATTATAAAATTATAAGACATTAAACAACTGCTAAAAAATTGTATGTTTTTGCTATTTCATACTGTATAATCATTTATTAATTTTACAATAAAATATTTTTGTTGATTCATTTAATTAATAATATTTATGTAATATTATAGAATAATTTACAAAAATCAGCCAATTATTATAAAAGCTTACTATACTATTTTTACTAAAATAGATTTCAAATATTATATAATGCAAATTGAGCTGGCTTATATGGTTTGTGCTGGCTTTTTAAATTGAGCCAAGCCATGTTAACTATTTCTATTTCTACTAATAATACCCCAAACTTTCAATTCAGATAATCTAAAAGAGACCAGTGGGTGTCTTTTTATATTTCAATTAAATTCTTTTCCTCTAATCATTTAATAATCTGGTTAGTATAATGTCTTGCCAAATACTTGATTCTTATTTAGTTTATTACCAGTATCTGATTTCTGATAATAATCCTTTATATAGTACTATTGAAAATCTGTATTACCTCTTTATTCAGGACAGGCTTTTGTATGCCCAAGCTCTTAGATTCATTCAGCTGCTTCACTTGGGTTTTGTATAATTCATATGTCACATTATTGTTTCATAGCTTCCCAGTACAAGCTGATATGACCAAAATTCAAATGCTAACCCATCAGATTATATATAGTCTGTTGTAACACATTCTGTAAATTTGAATTTTTGTCACCAGTGGGATTCAAACTTTTGTCCTGCTGATTGGGAGTGACAACATACCAACTACACTAGGTCGCTACACCCCACTATCAAAATTTTTTTAACTGGTATTTTAAATGCTGTTTGTAAATATTGATTATTAATTTTAATTAAATTGAACGTACTTTAAATTAATTATTTTAATGTTTGCCAATTTATTACGAAAATATAAAGACTTAAAACAGCCGAATGTATATGGTACTGTATATTAGGATAGTTAAACATGTGATAATTGTTACCCATTATAAAAACTGATGATGCAAAGGTTTGATTTTTTTTAAGTGAAAAAAAACCACTTCTTCAAAATGATGCACTCATCTACTTCAGAACATCCCTATCTTACCCGTTTCAGTTCTACTGTTTCAACCATTTCAACTTCTAATTTGTCAACGACTTCATTCAGGTTAAGCAAAGAGCTTCTTAACCAAACCAGGGATCAGTTACTTATATTCCAACAAAGTGATAATGAGGAGATGAAACCAGTTATTATTGCTAAAAATGTATCCCTCGAAACATATATCAAGTATTGCAAAGCTGAACGAAAGCTTCCTGTTAGCATTCGTTTAGTTGATGGAAACATACAAGCTTATGAAGTACCGCTCGCATCTCATGCAGTAGTATCAAATGAAATCAGTTTCTTGATTCGTAATTGGAGTAATCAATTATTTGGTGGAGACAATGAAGACCTTATTGTGGGTCCAAATAGTTGTTACACTGCTGATCTAACTATCCGACCACAAAATCTTCCTAGAGCTCCAGCTGGACAGGGATCTGACTCAGAAGGGTTAGCATACCCAACAACGGTTGTCGAAGTTGGAAACGGCGAGTCAACCCATAGCTTACATAATCTTTCAACGGGTTATTTTTCTCCACGAACGACTATCCAAATTTATCTTGCAATAAAACTGTTTCCTATTCGTAATGATGGTACAAGAGCAATGCTTGCACTACGTTATCTACGTACAAATCCAAATCCAACAGTACCGGATACCGTAATATCTTTCGGCACAGCACCTCTTAGTCATCATACAATAGATTTTCTTTTGAATAGTGTGAACGTTTCATCTGCTAATGTTACTGGCGTTGGGTTTTCAACAAACGCTTGTAACGCCCCTGGTATTTCGAATTATCAATTGCATATTCCTGCTGCTGAAATTTTTAACGGTGTACATGGTGGCATCCCCGCTTGAAAAGTTAATGGGTTTTATTTGGATTTATGGAAATTACAAAACAGAGTAGCAAGTTTATAGAGTATATCAAGTTAATAATAATGGAGAATAGTGCAGTAATTAACAATGCTTTTTAAATCACTGAAATATAGCTCTCCCTTTAGTTTATGACTATGATAATATATTTTAGAAATGCATAGAATGCAAATACATCTAATAAAGTTTCATTCGCTATTAGGCTTTAGCAAATGTATGCATAAAAAATAAGTTTCTTGGAAAAAAAGTCATGAAAAATAGCATTTTCCAATTTAACATTGTGTATATTTAAATACACTCCACTCATAATATATATAATTCCTAATTCTTCAATTATTCTTCGTATAATTCCCTCTTGAATTGATCCTACTTTTGTTGATTGATGTGATCTTTTTATATTGTATGTAGTGATGGGCAACGCATTAGCATATCATCTGGCCTGCATTAACTCTACACTACTGTAGTACATGGAAATCGGTACGTACAACCAATAGGAGCATGAGGACGATTAGCTTAAAATCATGGTACCGGTACCACAAGATCATCGAGATTTATGAAAGAGTTTATCTTTATGGGCGCGCCAACAGAAGAAACAAGTACAGAAGCGGCCGAGCACTCGGCAACAAACACAGTAGACGATGCGGCAGTAACAAACAAAACAACAATAAATAAAAAACCAACCACACACCGTATAGCTCTTGGAGATGTCACACATAATAATTTAGGACAACTTAAACGGTTAAATATTGTTCTTTTCCCCGTAAGCTACAGTGAAAAGTTTTATAAAGACGTATTAGAAGTTGGAGAATTTGCTAAGCTTGGTAAAATAGAAAGTTATTGTTAGTTTGAAATTGAACAAAAACATATATATATATATAATTTACATAGTTAATATTAAAATTTAGCATATTTCAACGACATATGTGTTGGTGCTGTTTGCTGTCGAAAAGAACCAATCTCAGATACCTCACCAGAACAAGCCAAACTTTATATAATGACATTGGGAGTTTTGGCGCCTTATCGTAATCTCGGAATAGGTATTAAACAATGAATAATTGACAAATTGATTACGCGAAGAATAAAATAAATAATTGAGAAAAAATTTTTTTTTAACATTTAAGGTACAGCTTTGCTGAGACATATTTTACATCATGCAACGTCGGGAGCACCATCCACACCAAAATTTACCGAGATATATCTTCATGTTCAAGTTTCTAATGAAGAGGCATTAGCATTTTATAAAAAATATGCTTTTGAAATTGTAGGAACAGTGGAAGGATATTATAAGAGAATATCACCATCAAACGCGTATGTATTGAGTAGAAAATTGGTGAAAGATTAAAAGACATCATCTAATGAATTCTATTAAATATGTTAACAACAATGATGTGAATTGACAAAAACTAATCTACAAATGAATTTAAGAAAACATGTAAATATGCATAGAAGTTTCGAGTTATGTATGAATTAAAAAAATAAATTGAATAGTATTCGTTTATTGCATGATAAGAAAGTTAAGAATCTTTCAATTGTAAGAAGCCTTTATAACTAGAATTATCATAGCGCAAAATGTAATTGTCCGGAGCGAAGCGAAGGACCTTTATTTTCTACAAAAGTTACGTTTTTGATGCTTTAAATTTAAAATGTCAAAGAGTAGTACTGGTGGGCAAAATTAAAACCATAAACTGATCCGGTGTTATATATTGCTAGCGTATGACCCGTGCCGGAGGCACGGGTTAGGTGTAACTTTTTATCCGTGTAATGATAAAAAGTTTTTTAAAAGTTACTTTAATTATAATTAATTGGAGCCTTTGCTAACAAAATTATTCTTCGGACTATGATAGTCCTGAAGGATGGTCTTGTTAGCAAAGGTCCCGATTTATTATTGTGAAAGGTTTTAATAAAGAACTAGCTAATAGATCATCTTCTAGTACCCACGTGTAAGGTTGTTAAAAGGGTACTCAGACTATAATAAAATATATAGCTCCATTTCAATAGATTTTTGGGCTCTTCCACAAAATTTATGTAACATAAAAATCGAAATAATTGGAATTTAAATCAACATCTTTAAGGTTAGGATTAAGGTCAAGGAAGGAAATAGATTATACCAAAATTTTGCAAAGAATTTTTTTGTTAAAACGCAAAAGACTTTTTATAGACAAAATTTGAATTATTAGGGAATTTTTTTTAAAAAAGCAATCAGATTTTAGATACTCACCAATTTCGCCAGCAACTCTAGTCTAAACTATAGTCTTTTTTTCATTGATTACATGAAACACTTTACAAGTTAAAACATTATAAAACTAAAATATAAAGAAATTTAATGAAGCAATAATGTAGCATGATAGATTGACACGTTTTGAACTAATTGCTTGGGTATTAACCTATTACATGCTTATCCACCAAATTTTAATTCCCAAATAAACCAAACCTACTGCGCATATGACAAGTGCCAATCTAGTTGAATAGATTCGAACGGTTCAACAACTGCATGGAACTGAATGGGGTACCATTATTCGAAAATAATATAACATTCTATTGCATGCAGCAATTAATTACATTCTATTGCATGCAATAAAACTTTAGTCAATTATCTACCCTTTATACCGTAAGATATTTGCAGGCAAATTTGCAGGGCACAAAAAAGTAACCGAATTTTAATAAAGATAAAAAGGCTATACACTGCCAAAAATAATATTGGCAGAATGCACTCTAATAGATGATTTGCTCTTCTTATAATGCAAAGATCTTATGATTTTTGCGGTGTAAGTGATAATATATTCAAATCAACCTAAACCTATATGTAATTATATATCACTCCTTAATCCAAAATCTGGCGGCGAAGCCGCCCGCATATGCAACTGCTAGTTTAAGAGTCATGTTGATTTTTGAGTTAATTTAAACTTGACCCGGTCAAATTAATCAAACTTGGATCGTAATAATTAAACTAATTTGACTTGGTCAAATATTGATTAGTTACTAACAATAATTTTTGCAATACGATTAAATAAAATTGCTTTAAAATTTTATTTTTTTTTCTTTTTATAAAACGATGGATTCTTCTAAGTAAATCATCAATATATGAAATAAAATAAAAGATACAATCCAAGTATTTTGTAATATAATATAATTATAAAACCAATACTTACGAAGATAAAGAAAATTATGAAAAAATTTCTACTTAAAAAATTCGCAGCACAGTACGAATAAACTTAGAACACAACAGAGAGGTGATTCACGGTATAATAGAATCTAAATCGAATTTAAAAAGAAGGGTTACTTTTAAAATTGGAGACTGTATCAAGGTTCCAGTTCCAAAATTGATCGATCAGCGGATATGTCACAAAATTTCATATCCCAATGCAAGTTTATAATAAATTTGCACATCATTTTCTGCGATTTGGATTTGAAGACAAAACTATTTTAAAAGAAAGAGGATATAAAATAGGATGTCAGATAGTTCCACCAAATATCGTTATTCTAGAGCCTGGAAAAAACCCATGTGACAAAAATGTTTTGGACTCGTAATAGAAGTCTTTATTTAGCATCTGATGAGGCCATCTTCCGATGACTTGCAAAATTGAATTGAAATATCTTTGCTATTAGGTGGATGGCATACATTAAAAATAATGTGCACTATACTGCTTCGTATTTCTTCAGGTTATGGAATTTTTAATTTAGGGGTACCTTATTTAGATAAACTTGAAAAGATGGTTGACTACATGGCTACATGCCATGTTCTTGAGTTATTGTGGATTGTGGTGGGTAATGCACTTTGTTAATATATACAAAACTGCTTCATGCAAATGAAAGATATTCAAAATAGTAGTAAGAAGATAGTTAGGGTTTGGCACTTAATCTTTTGTTGGGCAGGTTTGTGGTTAGATTAGGTTTGGAATTCATCATAGAAATTAGAAAATCTTATTTCATTCTTTCCTCTCTTTCCAATTATAAGATACAGTAATTATGCTCAATCTATTACATATTTCTTATCGTATATTGGGAAAAATTCTATTTTACAACAAATACTTAGACATATTTGTTCTGTAAACTTAACACATCCAGATCATTACTTTGACTTTGATGAGGCACTTGAAAGGTTTGACATTAAGATCAAAAATTCCAAATTATTTTATTACAATCTGAGCAAGAATGCTTAAATTCACTTTTAAGTGAATATATTGGTAAAAAGTCATTAATCCCAATGGATAGGCCTGCAAAATTTCGTGAAGAAGCTATTCGAAATCTAACGAAGCAACTTTTAAAAACATTCAGTCTGCAAGATTCTAAGCAATGTCAACTTTTTAAAGAAACATCTCAAAATATTAAAGAAAGGTTTCAACGCTTTTTTGAATGTTATGATATAGGAAAGGATCGATTAAAAAACATTTACAAACAACATTGAAAAATCAAAACCACAGGATACATTAGGCAGGCGCACTCAAAATATTATTGTTGAACCTTGTGCTCAAAAACAGAATCACAAGAAAAGAAAGAAAAAATAACATATTTTACAAGTAGTCACACTATATAAGTTTGGAAGTTGCTCACAATATATTTTTATTATTTAAAAAAACATTGGAGATTCTTCAAATACGTCTTGACCTTTTTATAACAAACAATGTGATTCGATTCTATACACCTATGATCAAGATGTTGCAAGTTTCGATTTGCAATCTGGTAAAAAGAATTATAAGCTTGGTTGTGCTAAATGATAAATTTTAAATACTTGTTTTCGTGTATGTGATATAGGTTCATTAGAATAATTTAACTAGTAAAGCTGTTTGTAATTGTTAATAAAATTTATTAATTAAGCATAAATGTTTGGATATGTTTGGACATTTGGATTTGGATGAGATGTTGACGGAACATTGGGGTGACCGATCACCCAATAAAATCAAACATACGTCTAGTCCTATATAAATTTGCAATATTACAGATTTTTTTATATCAATAAATTTTTTATTACATAAATGGTGCATGATGCCCATTTATATATATAACAGTATTTAGTCAAAGAGAGACTGCAAATACATTTTCTAAAAGATTTATATAGTTATTCAGCCTTAATTGCGCAATGAATTAACACCAAACTTGGTAAAAAGAGGTCTTAACAATTCTTTTCCAAAGTTATGGTAATATATTTGTACGTACTTCATATACATATAGTCTTACTAATTTATATAACATACATTTTAAAAAAATGCATTAAATTTTATATATACCAGTTTGAAATATAGTTTTTAATTGAAAATGTTATTATGGTATGTAAAATCTGAAAACGTAACTTTGTTAAGAACGCATTAAAAAATGAAAGATGTTAAGATTGAGCAAAAAAATTTATTATTAAGTGCTAAATATCCAAAAGTATTTTACTAATTTTTTAATATAAAAACTTCGACATAATTTTTTGATCCAAAAATCTATAATACAAAATTCAGTGAGACTAAACATATGTTTGAATTAGATGATCAGCCACCCCAACGGAGCATGCCAAAAAGACTAAGCATTAAAAATGTACGACACTGCCTGCCTGTATGAACATACAATGTTGTACATTTTTTAATGTCCAAATCCAAGAATATCTAAACATGTTTACGCTTTTCATAAAGTTTTTCATACATCACACTGGGAATCAGAAATCTAGAAAAAATGCCAATACGTGATTGGCTAAAAATTATTTTTAACCAATCACAAATTTGCATTTATTCTAGATTTTTGTGATGTATGAAAATCAGTAGACACAGTAATTTGAAAAGCGATAAATCAAATTTCCATAATAAAATTTTGTGTTACAGTTTATAACGTGTACGTAACACTTTTGTCATTGTCAGCATTGAAACACTGAATACGTATATATTTTGTATATATGATATCGGCATGCACTTTAGATCTCATCTCTGGCGATAACGCTATGTACCGCTGACGTGACTAATATTAAAGATAGTAAATTTTTACGTATTAAATCCTAAAATGTAAAATCAGATCTGAATCGAGAAAAGTATATCTGATCAGGTTGATGTAACATGAGAATTTGACATTTGAAAAGTAGATCTTAAATGAATTTAAATATCAATATATATATATATTGATATATGCTTAGATAAAAGCCAAGTTTATTCGATGACATTTGTCTCTTCTTCTTGGATAGTTAATTACCTACTGTACTTGGTTTTAATAAGTTTTTAAATTAGATCCGGCCGTTTTTTTAAATTTTATCGTTACTAGCATACTGGCTCGTCTATATACTCGCAAAAGGAATAATTTTTTAATAATTATTAAAAATGGATCTGCCCACACCAAAGTTTACGAGGAAGAGAATAGGTTTATTGACAAGTGGTGGTGATTCTTCGGGTATGAATGCTGCAGTAAGATCAATCGTAAGAGTTGCTATTTCACGTGGCTGCGAAGCATACGCGATCTTTGAGGGTTATGAAGGTATTGATTTTTTTTTAAATCTCGAAAATGCCTTTATAAATAATAAAAGGCTCTCGTCTTTTTGAAATCGTATAGGGCTAGTACAAGGTGGTGACATGATAAAAAAATTTAATTGGGGTGATGTTAGAGGATATCTTTCTATAGTATGTTAATTCTATATTTTCCATTATTTAATTTTTTAGTTTTAATCGTTTTAATCGTTTTAATCGTCTGTGTTTAAATCATTTTTATATCATAATTATATCATAATATATTATAGGGTGGTACACTTATTAGAACTGCTCGTTGTCAATCATTTCGTGAGCATAAAGGTAGACTACGAGCTGCATATAATTTAATTAAAAATGGAATTGATGCCTTGATTGTTTGTGGTGGTGATGGTACATTAACTGGTGCTGATACTCTAAGATCTGAATGGCCTAATTTAACAAAAGAACTGATCCAGACTGGTAATGTATGAAATATATTATTATTAAAATGTATTTACTTTTCAGTCTGTTCATAATTATTATATAATTATTTATATTTATAATATTAAACAGGTGAATTAACTAAAGAAGAAGTCGCTCCACATGCGCATCTCACTATCGTTGGTATTGTTTGTTCAATTGACAATGATATGGCAAAAACTGATATTACCATTGGTGCCGTGACTTCACTACATCGTATTTGTGAGGCTATTGATAACATTTCATCTACGGCATTTAGCCATTCTCGTGCTTTTGTCATTGAAGTAATGGGAAGACATTGTGGTTGGTTGGCTTTAATGGCTGCTATTAGGTATATAATTGTTTGTTTAAAAAAATATATATATATATTTTTTTATATTTCAAAAAAAGATAATGTCTTAATTGTATTTAATGTTAAGTACTGGCGCAGATTATGTTTTTATTCCTGAACGTCCTCCAGAAGCAGAAAAGTGGAAGAAAGAAATGCGTGAAACAATAGAAAAGGTATTATTTTAATTTTATACTATAAATAAAATATTATCAAATTTTTAATATAAAGTATTTCTGTGAATATATATGTTTGTAATAGCAACGCGAAGCTGGCAAACGTAATACGATAATAATCGTAGCTGAAGGTGCCATTGACGATAATTTACAACCTATCAAATGTGAAGATATAAGAAAACTCTTAACTGAAGTGAAAATTGACACGAGAGTCACGACGTTAGGACATATTCAACGTGGTGGTAGACCATGTGTTTATGATCGGAATCTTGTAAGTTTGCTTTTATTTATTATATTATAATTTAATATAATTCGATATAATTCAATGTATAAGTTATTATTCAATATATTTGTTATTTATGTATCAAAATTTTTGTTTAAATAGGCTACTCTGCAAGGTTTTGAAGCTGTAAAAGCTGTTCTTCGAGCAACTCCAGATACTCCATCTCCGATGATTTCTGTAAGAGAGAATAAACTCATGTGTGAACCGTTAATGGAGGCTGTTGAATTGGTTAGAATAAATTTCAGTTTTTAATTTACTTTATGATTTATGTTGTTAAAAAAAAATTTTTTTTTCTTTGTACATTGATATTGTTAGACCCATCAGGTCTCTGAAGCTATTGCGGAAAAAAATTTCCGCAGAGCAATGGAATTGCGAGACCCTGAATTTGCCCAAGGTTTCGATGCATACTTTTCTACGTCCTTTATGAAGAATAAAGCATCATTGCAAGGAAATCATGTTTGTGTTTTGATTATAAAATTATTTAAATTTCTTGAAATTTACTGTCTACCGAACATTATTAACCATACTTAAAAACAATTTCTAATATTTCTATTTATTTTAGTGCCTAAGGATAGGTATAATTCATATTGGTGCGCCTGCTGGAGGGATGAATGCTGCAACACGTGCTGCTGTTCGGGTTGCTATTAATCATGGTCATAAGCCTATTGCCATATATAATGGCTTTGCCGGTCTTTTACAAGAAAATGTCCGTGAACTTCATTGGTTAGATGTTGATGATTGGACATCAAAAGGCGGTTCAGAACTTGGAACGACCAAGACTGAAGTATTTAACTTAGATTTAATCGCACATCAATTACAAAAGCAAGGAATAAATGCTTTACTTCTTATTGGAGGTTTCGAAGCATATTCTTCCTTAATAAAATTAAATGATGCTAGGGATAAATATCCTGCTTTTTGTATTCCTATGGTGTGTATTCCTGCCACTATCTCGAACAATGTTCCAGGCACTGAATTTTCATTAGGCTGCGACACAAGCTTGAACGCTATAGTCGACAATTGTGACATCCTCAAGCAATCGGCTTCCGCTTCCAGAAGACGTGTGTTCGTTGTAGAAGTACATGGTGGTTATTGTGGTTATTTGGCTGTGATGGCTGGTCTTGCGGTAAATAAACTTATACCTTTTGATATCTTTTGATATCTTTTGATATCTTTGGGGTTTTTTTATTCTTTTTACTGACGCAAATAATTTTATTTATAGGTTGGTGCTACGAATATATACTCCCCAGAATATGGTTTGTCCCTTCAAACTCTTCAGGAAGATTTGAATCATCTGGTTCGCAGATTCGGGGCAGATAAAAACCATACTAGTTCTGGACGTTTAATCCTTAGGTAAATAATCATAATTTGATAATAACTTTCTTAATTTTTACTAAATATTAACTTATATACAGAAATGAATCGGTATCGACTACGTATACAACAGATGTTATCGCAAACATCATAAAGACTGAAGGTAAAGGACTTTTCGATTCACGAACTTCTATTCTGGGACACATTCAACAAGGTGGTGCACCTTCGCCAATGGATCGAATTCGCGCCACAAAGTTTGCTGTGGAATGCGTATCATTCTTAGAAAAACATGCCAAATCTTCTGGATCTTCTGATAACCCAAGGATTTATACAAAGGACAAAGAATCTGCTGCTGTTATTGGAATTAATGGTGCAAAAGTCGTTTGTACGGTATGATCCATTCATTTAAAAATAAATGCTATAGTATGTTTTTTAAAACTAAATTATTTGTTACTTTTGTTTTTATTAGCCTGTAATTGATTTGCTATCAGATACTGAGTTTGAGTTTCGTAAAGGTAAGAAGTCGTGGTGGATCAATGTAAAACCTTTGGTGGAATTATTATCAAAATGGGGTAAGATATTAAATATTCTCTTGCTTAAAGATCTGATTTACAAAGCATAATTTCAGTCATACGCAACTTTTGGCACAGCATTTGTGTGAACTTCAAAAAATATATAAATATACTAATCGTTTCTTGTCTATAGGATATGCGGATAATGAACCAATAGAGGAAGAGATGAATCTTCGTAATGATTCTATTAGTTTGGATTAGTATAATTTTGTTTTGCGTAGACCATTTTACAATATAGTTATTATTTTTTTTTTTTACTAACTAAAGTTGTATGCTGTAAATTAGCTTAACTGATAATTTACACGTGATTATCATAATTTGTAATATATACATTTTCGTTATCAATAAATTAAAACCAAATGTGCTATAAACTATAGATTTAAGAACTTCGTCACGTTGATAAACCACAAATATGAACCGGATAATATTAGTCAGAGTTTATATAATAGATTTGTTTGCTTATTAGTAAAATTGATGTCTAAATTTTTTATGTTGAAAGGTTTTTTCCGTTATTTAATTGCAAATCTTTATTATAACATTCAATTTTATTTGTTTATGAATTAGATTCAATTTATGTTGAAGCTTTTCATAACAAACTTTTTAATAATATAATAAACAGGGGTGTAGTAATCTAGTGTAGTTGGTAGGTTGCCACCCAAGTGGCAGGACAAGAGTTCAAATCCCACTGGTGATGAAATTTAAATTTACAAAATATGTTATAGCAAACTGTATGACATATCAATTGAATTAGCATCTATAATTTTGATTGTACTAGTTTGTACTAAGAGATTGTGGAATAATAGTGTGATGCAAGAGTTATATAAATTTTAAGTAAATCAATTAAATAAATTCAAGGGATCAGAAAATATGGAAGTTTGTTTGGAAAGTTTTAAATAGAAAAGTAGTACAGATTTTTGATAGTATTATATAAAGAATTTTTATTTAGAAAATTAGATATTAGTAGTAAAATTAAACAAATTAAGTATTTGGCAAGACATTATATCAACCAGGTTATTAGATGAGAATTAAAGAAAAAAAGATTCATTTGAAAATCAGAAAAAGCTTACTAGTTTTTCTTAAGCCATCTAAATTGAAAGTTTAAAGCTCTGATGATTAGTATTGAAGTATTGTTAATAGTTTATAAAATGAATATTGAGGTTTAGGTGAATTTTACAAAAGCAGAAAATATTAGAAATTGTGCAGTTTAATAGTTAACTTTAATTACTAATATTAGTTTTAGCCATAGTAGATAGATATCTTTAAATTTAATTCAGATATAAAAGAATTAGAGGAGTATTTACTATGCTTATTTATAAAAACTTTAAGGCAATCAACAGAATAACCAAATTTAGATTAGTTGAAGACATTTTGGTATGAAGATACCTGATTTAAAATAATTGGTAAGTATATATAATTAGAAGAGTTAAATAGATAATCTTCAAATAGATTACAAGTATAATAACTAATATAGAATCTTTGAGTAGATTATTTAAATAGACAATCTAAATGATTAAATTGTATTTTTGTTATAGAGTTTTGTTAAATGTAGCAGGTTGTTAATACATAATTTTAAAAAAAAATTAAATTTATTAGTAGTTAGGGTTAGTGTTTAAGCTAGTATTAAGAAGGCATATTTATATGCAAAATTAAGTATTAAAAACTTTTAATTAGAAGCTCAGGATTAGTTTATATAATAAAATTTCAAGATATTTAAAATTTTGACTTTTTTTCTTAAGTTTTCCTAATTTTCGTTTATTTTTGTTATACAAGATCCTGTAATCTAATTGGTCAATCATATTAATCTGTGATATAGTAATCTGCAATATTTATTGTCACGGATTTTTTAGAAAAAAAATCGTGACTTGTAGTAACGAGAACGTGTAAGTCCGGGTTCATGAGTATGTTGTAAGGCTAAG